AGACAATCGGAGCAATATGAAAGGCATTCCAAAGTCCATAAAACGGTACCGGCCAACCACTCTAAATAACAACGATTCTCAATTTTAGTTACAAGTTTTATGTGTAGGAAGGACGAGAGGTTGTACCCTAGAAGTTGATGTGAAATATACCTGGCACAGTCATTCGTACAGTATTCACCAATTGTTTTGTGTATATGATATAATTGCGCAGCTATCAAAGAATCTGTCACGGTTTTCCATGTAGCTTAAACCACCCAGAGTCAATTGCATTAGGAGGTATTCACTGTATTTTTTTCTATCAAATTATGATTTTTTTTTTCTTTTTCTTTTTTAATTCAAACTTTTTCGGAAGTGAATAGTCTCAGATTTTTGAAAGTTCATGAAAGATTTTGGGAAGGCACATGCAATTCGGGATTTAAAAAAAGAAGGTAAGGACTGGTAAACAGAAAAACAGATAAAGCAAACCAAAATTGTATATAATGAGGTAGTGACTTTACCAACTCACAACCAAGTCGCCAATTGTAAAGTGATGTTGACGGTACTTTTCCATGGTTTTTCCATGTCATTAAAACAAATCATATGCTATAATATAATTAGCTCTTTTTATCAATTGTTCGATAATTATGTTAGTTTGATGTTTCTGTTTTATTTACAGCAAATTGTTCTTGGACTAGTCTTTCCTTTGCCCGAGGGAACAAATATAATTCCCATACCATGGTCTGTATCTGCAGTCCTTTGCTCAAAAACCTGTTCACAGAGAAACTACGTCATGATTTATAGCTGTATAGAGGTCATTTCGCCAAGTTAAGTTACCGCATAACCGTTAAATGTATTGTGTTGCTATGAGGCTCATGGGAAACAACTGTGCTTAGAAAGTCGGATAAAGGTTATTTGTAAATTGGTAAACACTTTTCTGAATAGAATTGTACAGCATGACCAGTGTCGGGACATTACGCACTGCAAACATCCCATATACAACATGCACTGGGCAGATAAGTTCGAGAATCAAGATTATACTGGTGGAGAATGTGAAATATGACCTTACGCTAGCTAGAAACGTATAGGCAACTCGGTGAAAGGTCATTTGAGTTGAGCAAGGCAAATGCACAGCCATAATTTTGTCTGAGAAAATGATAGTGGCAACCGATCGCAAAACTTTGAGAAAAATATCAACTTGAGCCGCTCTCCAAAGCCTAGTGCTTCACATACTAAAACGACGAACGCGACAGTTCAACTTCAAGTTCAATGTTCCACATTTTACAGAAAATAAAAATAACAACTTATACATTACAATTGTAGTATAAATGAGCACATGTCACTGATTCTCAATTCATATAATAGATAAAGTAGAATGCGAAGAACCTATTAAAAAGCAGGGCTTGTATAATATAGGTTCCTCTGGCATATTTCGTAATATGAACACGATTTCAATGCTCGATACAATAGGGCCGTGTACAAATTATGGTTGTGCATTTGCCTTGCCGAGTCACCTCAAATGACCTTTCACCGAATTGCCTATATTGCATGTAGTCTGCCCATGATTTGCCGATTTTAACGATTGTTGTTGTCTTAGAGATCAACCAGAAATAAACGACTTCCTTTGTACAGCGCTCATCACGATGCTAGAAATATTTTAATGCGTCAAAAGCCTTTAATGTATCCTGTTATCAGGGTTGATAATGACATTAGCACTGTAAATGAGTTAAAGCTCACTTCACTCACATTTTTTGTATTGTTTGGGGGGGGGGTGGGGCGGAAAGAAATTTGTCAGATAAATAAAAAATTAAACGATGACAATATTTGACATTATTGTCAAATGGGGATTGAAACAAGAGTTCATATAATTGATACGATTAAACACATCTAGTTAACTATCCTGAGTCGCTTGTGGCCGTTATAGACTTACAAGAGAGAGAACTATAATGTATATAGGTTAATCAAAGCTAAAGCCCCTTTCACACCGGGCCTTACGTAGAGTTGTGTACGTTGCCCTACGCTGGCCTAAATAACTATATGCAGCTGGGGGACGCAGTGGGTACGCGAGATGGACGCAACAAATTAAATATGTTTATTTCTTTCGTGTACTTTCGGCGTAAAACACTAGACGCAGAAGTACGCATTTTTTCGCAAGTCTACACATAACTACGCAACACTATATGCTACTGTACGCCATGCCTACGCAATGGTATGCTACCCTACGCCAGTCCGACGAAGCAGTAAAGGGTATAAAGGCGTCCTAGATCCTTTACGCCAGGCCTAAGCAAACCTACGCAACTCTCCGCCGAAGCAACATTTCTTTCATGAATGCGCAGCGTAATTTCATACGCCACACTACGCAACTATACGCAGATCCGATGTGAAAGGGACTTGAACTATCACAACTACTACATACATGTACTCGAAAGGTCAACCTTGTTTGAACACATTGTACACAGTGTTTAACAAAAATGCCACGGCTTACCACTTCAGATCTCAATTAGGCATATCATAGCGATGAAAATATCTATACTTTTAATTATAATATATAGGATTTTATTGAAATCAAACATCAAAAACCAAGAGCAAACAGTCCAAAGACTGACAACTGTCTTGGGTACAAAAATATAATTTAAATCAAATATACATAATAAAATAGTAGTAATGAATAAATACATAAGTTACATAAGTTAAAATATCAAATAACTAAACTATTATCAATAAATATTGCAAAAAGGACATATAAACAATAAGTATACATCATTACAATTACGTCAAAAGAGGGCTCTCGAGCTGTGCAAAATCTAAATCAGGTACAGACCGAGAGTCCAATAAAAGAAAATTAAAATGCATAAGACTGGGTTTAAAAAAGATCAATAGTGAAAAGAGGGGAATATGTCAGCTAAAGAATAATTTTTTAAATTTAAAGTATTGAGAAGGTACAAGTAACATACAATAAAGAAATTCCCAAGAGAGCATAGTAAGAGAATAGAGTAAGATAGAGGAAGAGAGAGGGAGAAAATAAGAAAGGAGAGGAGAGAGGGAGAGAGAGAGAGAAAGAGAGAAGGAAGAGGATAGGAAGAAAGTTAGGGAAATATCAATACCATCTGTAGAATTTGTAAAAACAGTCCAGGTATTCAACATTGTAGACATCATTGCAATTAACCCGAAATACATGAAACATACAATAAAGAAATTCCCAAGAGAGCATAGAGAGAGAAAAGAGTAAGATAGGGGAGAGAGGGAAGAAAAGAAAAGGAGAAAGAGAGAAAGAGAGAGAGAGAGAGAGAAAGAGAGAGAGAGAGAGAAGGAAGGGGATAGGAAGAGAGTTAGGGAAATATCAATACCAACTGTAGACTCTGTAAAAACAGCCCAAGTATCCAAGCATTATAGACATTGTAATTAATCTGAGATACATGTAACATACAATCTGTAGAATCTGTAAAAACAGTCCAGGTATTCAACATTGTAGACATCATTGCAATTAACCCGAAATACATGAAACATACAATAAAGAAATTCCCAAGAGAGCATAGAAAGAGAAGAGAGTAAAACAGATGGAGAGAAATAGGAAAAGAGAAAGGGGGAGAGAGAGAGAGAGGAGAGAGAGAGAGAGAAGGAGATAGGAAGAAAGTTAGGGAAATATCAATAAATTCTGTAGACTCTGTAAAATGAGAAAGTATCTAAACATTGTAGACAATAGACATTATTGCAAGAATTATGAAATACATGTACATAAAGGAAAAAGAAACATGTGTAATCTACCAAAGAAGAATGGAAGAAGAAGGAGGAGGAAAAGAGAAGAATTTGAGAAAGAGAGGGGAAAACACCAGAAAGGAAATTAGAAATTGGTAGATTTACACAAGTTTCATCATGTTGATTACCTTCACTGCCTGTGGTATAAAAGAATTTTGGTATCTGGATGTACGGCATGTTGGTTGGCAAAGAGGGTCACTGTTTCTTAACTGGCGAAAATTTGGTAAGGAATCCCTACGTGGAGGGAGCATGGAAGAATGTCTGGATTGTAAGAGTGATTTAACAAAATTTATGAACAATTGTTGTCGTCTATCTGCAAGGGATGGAATCTGTAAAAGTTGAAGGGCGTGAAAGTAATCAACATAATTATATCCCAAAATGATACGGCAAGATCTTTTTTGGACTCGTTCGATCTTGTTCGACTGATTGGCAGTAATAGATGATGACCACACTGGGGAGGCATATTCAACTAACGGTCTAATATACATAATATAAATAGCAACCAAATCCTCTAGTGGAGCTTTGTGTTTTCTAAGAACACAAAGGATGTAAAAACGTCGTGATGCTTGTTTGACAGCATTCTCGACTTGTCTATCCCATTTCATATCAGACTGTAAGTGCACTCCCAATAACTTAACAAACTCAGTAGGCTGAAGGACAGAGTCACTGATGCTAACTTCGGGCATAACAATCTGGTTCCGAAGGAAAGAGATATGTAATACCTTACACTTCTCAGGCTTAGGGGTCATCTGATTATCAACAGAACACTCGGTGATCAAAGATAAATGATCTTGCAATACGGAGGGTTGAGATTTGTGTCTGATTTCAGCGACACTCAAATCATCAACATATTTCCATCTCAGAGGAGTAGAGGTTGCAACATCATTTATCATGATTAGGAAAAGAATGGGACCGAGCCTCGTACCTTGCGGTACTCCACATGTAACAGGCAGGGGCCCACTAAAGGTAGATCCTAAACGTACACAGTGAGATCTGTTCTCCAAGTAGCTACACAAGAGAAGGATAGTATTTGGATCAGTACCTAAATCAAACAACTTAATTACACAGAGATCAGTGATATTCATAAACATATGTAATTCTATATAAGTAAAGTTATTATCTGTTTTTGGGTGAATGTTAACTTTTCTGTTGGCAGCGTGATTACAAATTATGAGCAAGACAAGATCAATGTGTGAAACACTTATCATTATTTAAAACCGAGATATTCTGAGTAATTTTTTCCCCAAAATCGATAACAATATTGATGATTACAACACTGCACAATGATCAATTTAATACTGTCAATATTGGTCCTTTAACCAAGTGAAAAGTTATGAAAATATATTTCAGAGAATATATATATATATATATAAATATATTTGCCAGTCTTTCAAAATCATGTAGTCCTGTGTTAGTACATGTATACTGCATTTACATGTACTACAACATACTAAAAGAGCTCCTTTTGATACTATGTGCTCTACACTGCGGATTCCCAATTATCCGATCCTTCCTGTATATCTCCAGGAACTTGATGATAACCTGTACCGGTCGTGGCCTTCGAGGTGTCTTTAGGGATATCATCAAAGTCAGTCTGTGTTGCAGCTACGTCCGGAATGGCTTCGGCTATATCATGCTGATTGCCGTCTTTGAATCGTTTACACTTGGTGATCAACGCCATTGCTATGGCCGACAACCAATAGAAAGAACCACACACGTAAAACGGAACTGCATAAGAACCCGTGGCATCAGACAATTGTCCTGTAATTGTAAGAGAAATGGGGCAAGAACATAATCGTACTATGCTTCGCTAAGAGGATGCTTAACTATTTTTGTACTACACTTTTCATTGATTTGTTTTCTTGTGGGTGGATTCTTTACCTTCTTTAGGCTCAAAAGGAAGATATTTGTTCCAGTAATGTTAATATGGATCCACCCTTTACACTTAAGCATGCTTATTTTCCTTAAGAAACTGTGAAATTGACAATCATGTTACCAATTGGAACACGACGTCATCGATTAGTGATGATGTCTGGTTGGTTCCTTTGGGATAAATCACCAAGTGGGCTGTAGGAAACTTGTTCCTGCGACAAGTGCTCCGTGTCAAGTTATTATCTAAATATCATAATTGAGAGACCAATGGTGACAACAACCAGTTGTATGAAAGGCCTGCCATACTTGAGTCCAACTTAAATTCGACCTTAGTCTTTGTGAAAGACACACTAGGAGCATGATACGTACCCATTAACTGTGTGCCAAGAATATTTCCTACTCCTCCTACTGTAATGAGCAGTCCAATGGCACTGGAAACAATGTTAATCGCAACGTACTTTCTACAGACTAGCATCGTCATGGGTATCATCATTCCGGCACCGATACCGTAGACGACTATCAACGCAAACTGTCCCGCAGTCGAGGTGACCAGAGGGTTGAACAATGGTTGGATTCCTGCTATGAGCAGCGATAGAATGTACAGGTTGGTGGTGCTGATCCATTTAAAATCAAGAAGAAACCCGTGGAGAACTCTCGCAAGAAGACTGGAGATCCCGTATACCGACATCACCAGACTGGCCGTGGTCTTTGAGAGACCAAGGTCCCCGACCAGCTTCGGCGCTGTATAGATTAGCACGGATATATGACTGGCGAAAGATAGGATTGACACCAGACATAAGGTAATGAAATATGCATTCTTGACCAGATGAGAGATGGCAAAGGTCTCGTCGATATTTCGTAAGATCCTTTTGCACAATGACTCGGCCCTTGACAAGTCATTGGCATCCGAGACTTGATGACTGGCTGTTAACGGCTTTGATCTGTATGCAGTCATGATCGTCTGTTCCATGTTAGTCCGTCGTAAGATCATTCCAAGGGCAATGAAATTTGCATTGATAGCAGACTGAATCATCAGTGCACCTTTCCATCCATACTCCGAGCAAAGTGTCTCTAGCAAGGGAGACATCACAAAGAAACCAGCTCCCACACCAGCATATGTTATCCCATTAGCAAATCCAAGCCGTTTCTTGAAATAAAAACGTATCACGATTGCACTGGGAAAGTATGCGGCGCCGTAAAACACACCTATATAAAAGATCCAAGAACAAAATGAAGAAATTATTAAGGCTAATTGTCTTTATCTCAGACGTGATATACAATATAGAGGGAAAAATTCATTCAAATGGATACGTTCAGTAAACAAATTTTTTAACTGACCCCCAAAACGACAACTTTTCTCTAAAAATTGACTTCTGTTTGGCAAGAAATAACGATTCTTGTCAAATTCGCTCCTATATAGAGCTCTACGATAAAGATCCATTTCTCGGGACCTTAATTGCTTCTCGTTGTTTTAGTAAGTTTATTTGATGATCATGGCTTAACTTGCCTTCTCCTCTTGCTGAGACGGTGACATCTCGTCTACTTGTCCCTTCGTCCCGAGACCAATAGCGATATTCCGACCCCCCCCCCTCCCAATAGCGGTTTGTCGCTATAGGTGTTCGCATTGTCCCTACGCTCCACCAGGAAGGTGAGAGAAAGGAGTGTTATCAAGCCGCTTTCCTTTTGAATTGAATTGAATTTATTTATTCACCACCATTGAAAACATTGAAACAAAAGATAAATGTACAATGACAATGTCAATATAACATAAATGCTTGACATGAATTATAAAAAATACATGTTCTACAGCGATATACATGTACATTATCACAAATATAAAGTAAACTTTTCTTCAAGAGTAAAACAATAAATTACTATTTACAATGATTTTGTGATCGATGGTAAAATAGAGTCAAAAATAGCACATGTGCTAGTCGAGTCTGACTCTCGCCCGGCCCCCCCGCCCCCCCCCCCCCCCCCACTCAGTATTATTTAGGGTACGCATATGCGTGTTCCAATCGACCCCCCCCCCCCTTTTCAGCAAAAGTCCGGTGTGTAAAGTCAATACGGGTCGACCTTTTTCTTTTGTTATACGAGCCTTTTTCAGCACCTCCCCCCCCCCCCCCCTTTCAACAAAAGTCCGGTGTGTAAAGTCAATACGGGTCGACCTTTTTCTTTTGTTACGAAAGGACATTTTGGTAACACGCATGCGGTCCGTCCGTTCTCGGAGTGGGGGGGGGGGACTCTCGTTATCTAAAGCCTAAAATAAAGTTAATTTAAAAATACATGATGGGTTTCCAAATCTTATAAATAAGATTTGTGTATAATATTAAAATGAGACTGGTTACTATGTACAACTATATAGTTACGAGGATATGATTCGTGGTTTTCACTTAAGAGTAATTTTGTAAGTTTTTTACGAAAAGAGGTTCTTGATCTCTCAATTCTTAGATCAGTAGGAAGCATATTCCAAAAATTACTTCCAACAAACGAAACCGCAGTGGAAGCGCGGCTCGGAGCATGGAATTCTAAAAACGAAATTTGTAGATTATTTACCTGCGAGTGTGCTATAAATGTGGAGATGCCAGAGTTGTGTTGAGAATGAAGCAAAGAAAGTAGAAATCATACCAATAACACCACCAAAAATCATCACAAGACGGCATCCAAAGCGTTGACATAACGCCCCTGCGAGGAAACCTGGCAAAGAAACAGAATTGTGTATTCATAGTACAAAATGCGATAATGGCAGTTCATCTTTGGGAAACAGTGTGTGATTGTGATGCCCTCTTGTAAATCATTCACTACCACTAAAAGCAGGTATTCCGCTAGTCTTACGATGTAATACCAAGGTTCCGTCTCTTAATTCCCACATCCCACAGGTCTTACGATCTATTGGGTCTGTATCCAATTCTTCTGATGAAAACTAAACCTAATTCTAACCCTAAATTTAACCCCTAACCTAAATCCTAACATTCAAACACACTAACCCTAAACATAAAGGGTCATATTAAGAGTTGGTTTAGCCACAGACTACGAATACACTGTGCAGCCAAAATTTCCTTCTTTTTCTTCACTTCACTCAATTTGTTCTTTCTTTGTCAATTATTGTGTACCTTTACCAGGGCTCAAATTAAATTTTTGTCCACGGGGGCTCTTCCAAAAAAAATAGCCCCCGTGAACCTTCTCACGGGGGCTCTTTTAGTGCTGACGGGGGCTCTTATTTTAATACAAATTTCCTTTGGATTGGTACCCATGAAACTCCTAAATTCCTTGGTATTTTATCATTATCATTTATTTATGTCGGCATTCTCCCTCTTAGAAATTTACTTGTTACATAGCCCTCCCCCCCCCCCCCCCCCTGAGAAAAAAGAAGGGGAAAAAAGGGGGAATTTTCTTCTTTCTTTTTTTTTTGAAAAAAGAAGTGTTCCTTTCCCACTTGTATCACAGAGAAACAACAGTTTAAGTTAAGTCTAACGTTAACGTTAATTTGTTATTAAAATGTGGAGTACAGCCCTTGGCCTTAGGCCTAATTTAGGTCGTAACTGTTACTGTTTGAAAATCTAAAGTAAAATTAGACTGTTTTCATGGTTAGACCAAGTAATTGAGAAAAAAAAGTTTACCCGTCACTGAGACCAGGTCAATCAATCTTCTAGATCCATTATTAGGGTCTAACGTTAGTAGATATAAGGTAGATGCAGGCGCGGATCCAGCGGGGGTGAGCGGGACTTGCCCCCCCCCCCCCCCCCCCCCCGCAAAAGAGAGAGAGAAAGAGAGAGGGAAGGAAAAGAGAGAAAGGAAAAGAGGAGAGAAAGGGAAAGAAAGAAGAGGAAGAAGAAAAGAAAAGGGGAAGGAGATCGGGGGCGAAAGGGCCTTGCCTCCCAGGCTGTTGCCTCCCCCCCCCCCCCAATAAAACAAAATAACAGAGAAGGAAGGAAGGAAATGGAAAGAAAAAAGGAAAAGAGGAGATAAAGGGAAGGAAAAAAGAGGAAGAAGAAAAAAAAAGGTGAAAAGAATTTCGATGCGGTGTTCGAGTAGAATTCTGTGAGATGATGATATACTTTCTCGTAGCTTGATGTGACGAAGTGTCTCTATCCAGATATCTGTTGATAGTATTATAAAATATAGAAGCCTGATATGACCTTCTGCTCGTAACCGACAAGTCACCGCATTAAAATTAAATTGCAAATATTGTTCAACAACACGATGGTGGATAAAACTTTCTAATATTCGAAGATATATGACCCTCAGACCATATTGTTTCATTATTTTTTATTCAATCAATCAACGTCAAAGAATTGATTTATCATCGCTCTTCAATTTATTATTTCACCTTTTAATGTACTTTCATTCTTATGCATCACGAAAGAACACTGAATTGGATTCTTCAATGTTTGTTTTGATTAATTTCCTCCCCTTTCCTTCTCCCTGTTTAATACTGATAAAATTTTCAATTTTTCTTAATCAAGGCAAAATATTATTTTCATATTTTCTTTATGCAAGACAGGGAGAGAGAGAGAGAGAGAATATGTTAAGTGAGAATTATCGAGTACAACTATGAATTGCATCCTTTTCAATATTATTCAATTTGCTGAAAATATTCAGAATATGAATATGATAAATCCACATAATACACCAACGCTGTTCAACGCATCCAACGCTCCAACCATAGCCCATATGCCAATGCACCATATTTATCAAATATGAAAAGATTTTTAAATGAAATTTGAAGAAAAATCAAATTTACAATGCACTGACAGGCATCAGTTGAAATCATGATTTCTCTGTGACTGGATTAGCACTAGTTTCTGAGGGACCAGTCACTGAAGAGGAGATAAAGGGAAGGAAAATTAAGGAAGAAGTAAAGAAAAGAAGGAGGATATCAGTTGCAATTTTCCCGGCCCCCCCCCCCCCCTTGGAAAAAAAGGGGGAAGGGGAAAGATTTATTTTTTTTGGAAAAAAAAGTGTTCCTTTCCCACTTGTATCACAGAGAAACAACAGTTTAAGTTAAGTCTAACGTTAACGTTAATTTGTTATTAAAATGTAGAGTACAGCCCTTGGCCTTAGGCCTAATTTAGGTCGTAACTGTTACTGTTTGAAAATCTAAAGTAAAATTAGACGGTTTTCATGGTTAGACCAAGTAATTGAGAAAAAAAAGTTTACCCGTCACTGAGACCTGCAATCAATCTTCTAGATCCATTATTAGGGTCTAACGTTAGTAGATATAAGGTAGATGCAGGCGCGGATCCAGCGGGGGTGAGCGGGCCTTGCCCCCCCCCCCCCCCCCCCACCCCTCCCTCCCTTCCCCAAAAGAGAGAGAGAGAGAGAAGGAAAAGAGGGAAAGGGAAAGAGGAGAGAAAGGGAAAGAAAGAAGAGGAAGAAGAAAAGAAAAGGGGGAAGAAGGAGATCGGGGGTGGGGCAAAAGGCCTTTGCCTCCCCCCGCCCCCGTTAAAAAAAAAGAGAGAGAGAACGAAGGCAAAGGAAAAAGGAGAGCTAAAAGGGACCAAAAAAGAAGAAGAAAAAAGGGTGAAAATAATTTCGATGCGGTGTTCGAGTAGAATTCTGTCAGATGATGATATACTTTCTCGTAGCTTGATGTGACGAAGTGTCTCTATCCAGATATCTGTTGATAGTATTATAAAATATAGAAGCCTGATATGACCTTCTGCTCGTAACCGACACGTCACCGCATTAAAATTAAATTGCAAATAGTGTTCAACAACACGATGGTGGATGAAACTTTCAAATATTCGAAGATATATGACCCTCAGACCATATTGTTTCATTTTTTTTTATTCAATCAATCAACGTCAAAGAAATGATTCATCATTGCTCTTCAATTTATTATTTCACCTTTCAATGTACTTTCATTCTTATGCATCACGAAAGAACACTGAATTGGATTCTTCAATGTTTGTTTTGATTAATGTATATGGCTCATGAAAGTGAGAGTGATAAAGCGAAGGAGTAGAGAGAGAGAGGATGAGAGAAAAGGGGAGGTACAAAGAGAGAAAGGAAGAGAGAGAGAGAGAGAGAGAGCAGGGAATGAAATGATCATAATTAAATAAACATATTATTCCTAATTTCACATAATACATTAATGAAAATTAAGAGAGTCAGATTTCGGCGAGACAACAATAATCATCATACAAGTACATGCTAGACGAGACAAAAGGGAAGGTTAAAAGAAAAAAAGAAGGAGAGAAGTTTGAAGAGAGAGAAATGGGGGTTGTTTGTTGTGAATGTAGAGTGTACCGAGGACAATCAATGACCCTATGTTGGTTGGTTAAATGTCCATATACAGAAATATTTTGGGCCACATTGTTTTAGAATCGTCTCAAAATTACAGTAAGTTCATTGGCTGCATATAACTCTTTCAAATCCCATTTTCATTCAAATTGTATTTAAAATGTCTTGATTTGGAACTGTCCGTTATTACCCGCATATGAAGGTTATGAGAGACTTTTAATTAATGCTGACGTCATTAATCATTGTTATCTTATTAATCAGTTACATCATGCCCACAATTTTGTTACCAAATAAAGAGAAGTTACTGAAGAGAATACAAAACTTTCTGTATGTGTAACATTTTTCATGTTTAAACAAATTATGTAAATGTGCTTAAGGGTCACTAATTCCCTGTACCTACCCTTTAATATAGTATCTAATTCCAAAAGCCAAACTTCGATTAATTACTAAAATGGTAGAAAGCTAGTGCAAGTCAAATACATTTCTATTGGCACTATCCATTTGTTATCTTAATAATGCAGTTCATAGCGTGGTGAGTTAGTTCTGAAAGAAGCGTTTACGTTAATTCACTAAGATCTTGTTTCAAGTACATGAACACATCTTTAAATAAATAAGTTCCAATTTTTCATGAACATATTAATACTCATTGAGAAAAGAGGACTAATAATAATTACCAATAGCAGGTAAACCCAAGGTAAGTTCAGTGGCAATGAAAGATAAAGACCCTGCTCCAACTCCAAAATATTCCTGCCATTCAACCAAGTATATCCCAACTAAAGGGACAGCCCCAGCATAGAGTAGCTGATTTGTGAAAGTTGCAAGAAGAACACACCAGGCCCAGCCTCCATCCACCGAGTCGGACTTGTTCTTCATTGCTTTTTCATCAGTAACGTCAATGTTAGAGATGCTACAAACTTCTCCACGATGAATTAAAGCTTACAAGTTACATGTATGCTCCTGTAGATAACAAGCCGGTGCGTATTTACTATTAGTATTGTAATAGTAATGTCCATTTTATCTCAATAAAACGTTGCATCATTCCACTCACAATTCTCTGCTGCGACTACTGCATTTCAACTCGAGAATATGACATGTCATTCCTTTCATTACACCCCTATATGCACAGTTTGGGCCGTCAGTTCATAGACCTTTTGGTTTAATATCATGTGATTGTATATGTGCAATCGTGTGAATCGCACAGCGACGTGAAAAACATGCTACACCATCCAGCCTAAGGGTACAATGACTAAGTACATGCTATACACGAAACGTGCATTGATGGCAGAAGCGCGGAGTTGACATCCAATGCTACACGTACATGCAGTACTTTATCACATGTACCTTCCCCGGGTACCTTCTGGCTAGCAGCGAGACGAGGGCACGGCTGACACAAACAATTAAAGGCCAAATATTTTTTTGAACTTTCGCGATTCTCCTAAATATTCGCTCTCCTGTGTGTGAGCTAGACCTGCGTGATCTTGTTGCTTCGATACGCAGCCAAAGAGTAATTATCGTGGTAAAGAAATCAGGGCTATAGTCTTTATCAAGACATTTAATTAGGTGGTCTGTCGATGACAGATCACCTATTGATTTCGTTAGAATTTTCTTTCTTTATTCTTTATTCTTTATTAGGTGGTCTGTCGATGACAGATCACCTATTGAGTTCGTTAGAATTTTCTTTCTTTATTCTTTATTCTTTATTTATTTTTATTTATTCCGTACACTTTTTTTGTGTATACGTTTACTCGAACTCGACCTGGTCAATTTCCTTCAAATTTCTGCTAGTCATCAGGCCCTATGATATGAAGTTCCCGAAACCTTTTTCAAGTTCATGGGGTCATCGTGACGTCATCCAGGCGCCATTTTGTAAAAATCAGGTCAGTATCATATCTCGATAACGAGTCATCAAAAATCAACCATATTTGGTATACATCAACTTCAGGTCAAAGGTCAACGAAAAATGTCAAAAAAATTTGCGCGCGCACCTCGACGCGCACGTACGCGCGCATTAAAATTTTAAAATGGTCAAATTCGTTCCAAATTAATTTTGCATACGTTTCAGGCCATTTTAAGCATTTTGCAAAAAAACGCGCGCACGGACATGCGCGCGCGTTTTCGCGCATAATTGCATCTTCCAACATAGAATCGCCAAATTTTTTCTGTCATCATATTTGGCACATTTTTTCAAGCATTTTGATACCTTGTTCAACTTTTTCTGCCCATTAATAACGGAATGAGCGTCCGTTTAAGATAATTACCGTGCGTGCGAGCTCTTGTAATACATAACATACATGTGCAAAAACATGCCTATACAAAATTCATTGTAACTCTTCAGGATGGATAGATACCCCCCAATTTCTTTCATATTTAAATAGATTATGAGTTGGAGATATGATTTCATGTTTCATTTGACCCTCAATTAACTCATGACGTCATCATAATGGCCTCCGAACTCAAAATTTCAATTTTCATATTATGACGTCAGCAGATTTTTGGAAAATTGATTGTATCTCTGCAAATATTGATCAATTTTCTTTCAAATTTTGATATGTTCTACCTTAGAATATTCTCTACAAATGCAGTCACCACGATATTTCATTTTGACAAAGGCATCATGGCGTATTTTTGCGATTAAAGGAGGCATGTCAATTTTTCACATTTTGCGTGTATTCTCTATGGGACATGACTTTTTCTCAAAACTGGTTTCTACATTCTCGTCTTTCGCGAGCAATATCTCCGTCGTTTTATCTTTGTTTACGCTGAGCTTTGAGTATGTTGTAGCTGAGACAATAAGCTATCACAAGTGTGCCTTTTATTTTTCGATCAGATGCCGGGATCATGCTCATATTTCACTTACAAAGTGGGATTTGAGAATTACATTTTCCGTTTACGTGTAATCTCTATAGGAAATGTTTTGGTATATCGGCAACGCACTTGACTTCCGACCTCGAGGTCCCTGGTTCGAGTCCGGGCGTCTCCAACAATTTTTTTTCTTCACTTTTTTTTCTTTTTGACCTTTCACTGTACCATCTCCTTTGAATATTAAAACACATACAATCGCAAATAATGTAATAAACAACCATATTTACTTTATTATTACCCTATTATCACTTGATCCATTACTTTTTGCGTGTAATCCTTATGGGAGATGACTTTTTCTCAAATCTGGATTCTACATTCTTGTCTTTTGCGAGCAATATCGCCGTTATTTCGGCTTGATTTTTGTTGATTTTTGAGTATGTTGTAGCTGAGACTATATACTATCTCAATGTTCTCTCATTTTTTTCAGTCTGATGTCATCATGGTCTGTTGATGATAATCATCAACATCATCATGATCATCATCATCATCATATTCGTCATCACAATTACTATCAAGATCATCATCATCATGATCATCATGATGATCATCATTGTTTACATGTCTATATAACTTGAAGGCAGACCACCTTATTCGTCCTCGTGACGAATTAAATTCTAGTTTATTTTTATTTCTTCCGTACACTTTTTTTGTGTATACGTTTACTCGAACTCGACCTGGTCAATTTCCTTCAAATTTCTGCTAGTCATCAGGCCCTATGATATGAAGTTCCCGAAACCTTTTTCAAGTTCATGGGGTCATCGTGACGTCATCCAGGCGCCATTTTGTAAAAATCAAGTCATTATCATATCTCGATAACGAGTCTTCAAAAATAAACCATATTTGGTATACATCAACTTCAGGTCAAAGTTCAACTAAAAATGTCAACAAAATTTGCGCGCGCACCTCGACGCGCACGTACGCGCGCATTAAAATTTTAAAATGCTCAAATTCGTTCCAAATTTTTTTTGCACACGTTTCAGGCAATTGTAAGCATTTTCAAGATTTTGCGCGAGAGCACTTTTTTGCGCGCGTTTCCGCGCGTAAGTGCGCGTACTGACATTTTACAACATGGAAACGCCAAATTTTCTCTATCATATCAACCACATTTTTCCAAGCATTTTGATACCTTGTTCACCTTTTTCTGACCAGTGATAACGCAATGAGCGTCCGTCAAAGTTTACAGCACACGCGGATCTGCATTATCCCTATCCACATTACATGTGCAAAAACAAGCCTATACAAAATTCATTTTAACTCTTCAGAATGGATAGATACCCCCAATTTTTTTCATATTTAGATAGATCATGAGTCGGAGATATGATTTCATGTCTCATTTGACCCTCAATTAACTCATGACGTCATCATAATGGCCTCCGAACTTAAAATTTCAATTTGCATATTATGACGTTAGCAGATTTTTGGAAAATTGATTGTATCTCTGTAAATGTTGATCAATTTTCTTTCAAATTTTGATATGTTTTAGCTGAGAATATTTTCTACGAATGTATTTCACACGATATTTCATTTGAACAATGGCATCATGGCGTATTTTTGCGATTAAAGGAGGCATGTCAATTTTTCACATTTTGCGTGTATTCTCTATGGGACATGACTTTTTCTCAAAACTGGTTTCTACATTCTTGTCTTTCGCGAGCAATATCTCCGTCGTTTTATCTTAGTTTACGCTGAGCTTTGAGTATGTTGTAGCTGAGTCAATATGCTATCGTAAGTGTGCCCTTTAATTTTCGATCAGATGCCGGGATCATGCTCATATTTCACTTACAAAGTGGGATTTGATAATTCCATTTTCCGTTTACGTGTAATCTCTATGGGAAATATTTTGGTACATCGGTAACGCACTTGACTTCCGACCTCGAAGTCCCTGGTTCGAGTCCGGGCGTCTCCAACAATTTTTTTCTTCACTTTTTTTTTCTTTTTGACCTTTCACTGTACCTTTTCCTTTGCTTATTAAAACATGTAGAATCACAAATAATGTTATAAACAACCATGTTTACTTTATTATTCCCCTATTATCACTTGATCCATTACTTTTTGAGTGTAGTCCCTATGGGAGATGACTTTTTCTCAAATCTGGATTCTACATTCCTGTCTTTTGCGAGCAATATCGCCGTTATTTCCGTTTGGTTTTTGTTGATTTTGGAGTATGTTGTAGCTGAGACTATATGCTATCTAAATGTTCCCTCATTTTTTTCAATCAGATGTCATCATGGTCTGTTGATGATCATCATCAACATCATCATGATGATCATCATCATCATCAACATCGTCATCACCATTACTATCAGGATCATCATCATCATGATCATCATGATGATCATCATTGTTTACATGTCTATATAACTTCTCCCTTTCTCAATATAGTAAGTATTATAATCTATCATAAGACTTGAAGACAGACCACCTTAATCGTCCTCGTGACGATTTAAATTCTAGTTTTTTTCTTCTTTCTATTCGTTGTTTTGTTACGATGAATAGAATAATCGTGATATATACTTCTTCATAATAATAAACTTGGTCCAAGTTCCAGTACCGGAACAAAATCTGCATCACCACCAAGTTAGCATAATGCAAGGTCGACGGAGCGTCTTCCAAAATAGAGCGGGGGGGGGGGGGAGGTATTGGGTCTTCAAACACTGCCCCCCCCCCCCACCCCCTGGCAAAAAGGGGGTGTTTTTATAGAAGACACACTTTATCTTTGTTTCAGGTGTTTACAAATGGGGGAAAACAGGGGGCTTTGCTCAAGAGGGGGTGCATGGGGGCGAATGTTGGGGGAAAAAAGTTTTCACCCCCCCCCCTCTCCTTTGAGCCAAAAAGTGCTCCTAACCCCACCCCCCCCCCCCCCCCCGCTTATTTGCCGGCTGCTGATTCGCCGCCTAATATTATATCACGAATGGGGCTACAACAATAAAAAAGTGCTCCTTACCCCCCCCCCCCCAAGCCTGCTTATTCACCGCCCGGCTAATTTGCCTTTAAATATTTTCTCACAGTTCGGGGAAAAAACAACCCGCCCCCCCCCCCTAAAAAAAAAACCTGGATACGCCCTTGGTTGTTGAGTTTAGCGTTATATGACAATCAGCCAAATTTAATATTTTGTTTAATTTTTTATGAACTTTAAAGGTAAAGACCAGTATTGGAAACGCCCCAATTTCAAAAAATGAAATGGAAGCTCTCATTACCAATCATGTGAAAGAATATGTTTTGACTAATACATGATGATAAAAAATTTGCCGGGAAACCGCCTACTAATTCATATATTTGGTAAATTTGTTTCTCTCATGGTCTGTGAGAGATATAGGGTAGTCCCATATACATCTTTCTGTGTATAGTGCTTGTAACTTTACGAAGAATGTGCCAAATTTCTTATCATTTTGATGATTCCAGAACCTTGCAGATGCTACAGTAGATGCTAGATGATCAACCTTTTCTGATCGATTTCACAACGTTTCTTTCACAATGCAATCGCATGACCATAACTGGTCTTTACCTTTAATAACCAAGAAAGCTCTATTTTATCATAATTTTTATTGTATCCTTTATTTTTCCAAGGTTTAACAAACATGTAATTATTATTATCCCGTCCTTTCTTATTCGGCACCATCCTGAC